CCCCCCCCCGACACACACACAGTTTTCTGGCTTCATGTCACATCCTGTGCTGAGTACCAGGAGCAGAGAAGGTGTTGCACACCTCCTGGAATCTCCCAGGGACTCCCAGACTTAGGGACCGTATAGAACAACGCCCTACTACACTTTACTACTGAGCAGCCGCAGGCAACCCCGCCCTCTGCTTCTGCTGTTCTTTATGGGAGCTCCGCAGGCACCCCACTGAATGCAGATGTGAACAGCAGGAGTCACATCTGTGGGAACTGGGCCCCCTTCTTCTCCCCAAAACTTCTTCCTGAAGACATGATTTGTTTCTTTTTTTTTTAACTTTATTTTTATTTTTTTTTTATGAACATCAGTGTTTTGCCTGCATGAATGTCTGTGTGGAGGTGTCGGGTCCCCTGGAACTGGAGTTACAGACAGTTGTGAGCTGCCGTGTGGGTGCTGGGAATTGAACCCAGATCCTTTGGAAGAGCAGTTGGTGCCCTTAACCTCAGAGCCATCTCTCCAGCCCCCTGAAGATATGATTTAACCAGAGACAATGCCCTATGCATACTAAGTGTATGTTCACCAGGCACTGTTTGGGAAGCACTCTTCTGGACCTGGAGGCCCTGGGCATGCCGCAGCCCCTCTCTACAAACCAGTTTCTGAGTCTCTGAGACAGCAGTGATGTTAGCACCTATGGATAGGATACGTACATGAACCAAAATTAGGGCGTGGAGGCACAGACCTACTGTCCAAGTACTGAGGAGGCTGAGATAGCTGGGTCATGCCTGGACTATATAGTGAGATCTTGTCTCAAAATGAAAAGCAAAGGCTGTGGGTATGTCTCAGTGGTAGAGCATTTCCCTAGCATGTGTGACACAGTCTTGAGTTCTATACCTAGAACTAAGGGGGAAAAAAAAAGGTAGAATATGTCTGGCACACAGTAGGTACTTTTAGGTGGGTGCCCCAGTTAGCTATGATCACCCTGGGTGGCTCTGCTCATGAGATGCTAAACTCATTGTTTTTACCCATTTAGAGAATTTGGGGGGGCCTGTTATGCATCCATTGGCCCTGTACAGAGAATGAGACTCAAGTGTGCAAGGAGACAGACACCTGCTCATCCACAGGGCTGACTCTCTGTAGGGACACAGATAATATCCAGGAAAATGTATTTGCTGAGGCACTGAGTACCCTGAGGAAGAGAAGCCTTGGGAGGCTCCCTGAAAGAGGAGAGAAGCATGCAGGTGCTTCCAGGCACAAGGATCAGCGGGTGCAGATGTCCTGAGGCAGGGATGGATCTAGATGTAGGGGGGCTGGTGAAGCGGGAAGGACAGATTGGAGGAGGGGAGGCAGGAAGAAAGGAGACAGGGCTGGACTTGGAGGTCAGAGCAGGACTGTGATAAGGTGGGTGCCACAGTGTTGGCATGGGTTCCAAAGAACACCTTGGTGACTGTGCTGAGCCTAACAGGAGAGGTAAGGGCAAGGAAGTGTCAGAGAGGAACCTGGAAGGCGGGTGGCGGGAGTCGGGTGTGGGGCAGAAAGAACGGGGCATCCCTGAGCCTTGATGCAAGACGCGGGCTGCACGCCACACCCTGAGGCCACGCTGCAGCCCCTTGACCTAGGGTCTTGGAGGCTCACAGGATTTGCAACAGGGACCTAAAAGGGTTCACCAGTGTCTCCACAGACCAAGGCTCCTGGCCTCCTGGAGGGAGAGGTGGCCAGTCTTGTAGTGAATCACTTTTGTTGTCTCTTGTTTCTGCTGCGGCTTCACCAACACCCCTGAAGATAAAGGTATGCAGGCTGCGTGTTTGGACCATGGGTAGCAGGGTCAGGGGGCCGGACCACGGGGCTTAGAGCTAAGCATGAGGGTGGGGCTTCTAGGGACAGAGGAGACTTTGGGATTCTAGAAGTCCACTTCAGGCTGCCCCTCCAAAGGGAGGGTTCCCTGGGAAGGCCTCTGTTTGGGTATGTTGAGTCATGCCCTGATCGCAGTGACTATCTCTCCCATAACCTTTCCTTCTTGGTCCAGATTCTGGAGGCAACGCCTCTCCTGGAGGCCTTTGGTAATGCCAAAACCGTCAGGAATGACAACTCTAGCCGCTTTGGGAAGTTTGTGGAAATCTTTCTAGAAGGGTGAGTAGGGGCCGTGGTAGATGCCCAGAGGCCTTGTGGAGCCCTCCATGGCCTACAGCAGCACCCAAAGTTAAGTGAGCCACCTCAGTCCCCAAAAGCTGACTGTGTTTCCCCAGGGGTGTGATCTCCGGTGCCATAACCTCTCAGTACCTGCTGGAGAAGTCAAGGATCGTGTTCCAGGTAGGCAGGCCACAGGCCTGGGTGGTGGTACCAACACTTGGAGCCCGGCCCGGGGCTGGGGGTAGTGGATTGTGAGCAAATATGTGTATACGTGTGTGTGTGTGTGTGTGTGTGTGTGTGTGTGTGTGTGTGTGTGTGTACCTGAGCCTGTGATCTGCCACCTCCCTTATCTACCCCAACAGCTTAGTTGGCTCATCCCTACCAAGAAATCAACAGATTGTTCCCTGTCCCAGGAACATAAGGGTGCATGTGTGGCCCAATCCTTTGCCTCCTCCAAGTCAGGCTGCCATGGCCTTCACTCAAGGAAGCCATCTGATTCTACGCAGTTCCTCATACCCTATCACAACCCCATCCTTAAGCGCTTCACTTCTCATCTGTGAAACACATTACCCTTTAAGTAACTAAATGTCTCAAGATAGTAGATGGGTTCTATGAGATCGGTCCCCATGGTATCCCGTGGGGCTTGGGGCTCAAGAAGACCTCAGCCAAATGGGCCAAGTGAACCATCTGAAGGCTTGTGTGCACATCTGGGCCAAAGAGATGCATCTCCAGGTGTACGGGTCTGGTTTACATAAGAGAAAAACAGGTGGGTTTGTTCCTATTTCTCCAAACAAAGTAAGGCTAGCACCCCATCATACCAAGATGCTCTCAGATCTCACCCCAGAGATGCCAGCCGACCTCAGGTCCCTGTGTATGGACATTTTTATGTGCATAGCTGAGCCTTGCTGAGTGACTGGGGGCTCACTCTTTTATGCACCCACTTTGCCTCCCTTTCAGGCCAAAAATGAGAGAAATTATCATATTTTCTATGAGCTGCTGGCCGGCCTTCCAGCCCAACTGCGGCAGGCCTTCAGCCTGCAGGAGGCTGAGACCTACTACTACCTGAACCAGGTGAGCATGCGCAAAGGGCTACCCAGCTACCCAAAGCCCCACAGCTCCTGGTAGTTAGGACAGGAACATCGGGCCTCAGTAGAGAGAGGAGCCCACCTGATCTTTCATCTCTTCAGATGAACAGAACAGAACTAGCCAAGGTGATGGTACTACCTGCCCCCTCTCTGGAACTCAGTTTCCTTTTCTGGGAAATGGGGACAACATAGCACCATTATATAGAGGTGTGGGAGAGGAATGCATGACTTGGTACTGGCCTATAGCCCATCCTCCATTAACGCTGGCTGTGGTTAGGGGACAAGCTCCTGTTCCTCCTCATACAGTCTGTGGAGCTGTCCTGGGTCCCCTCAGAACCTCCTGGAAAGCAGGACATGACGGGCCCTCAGCTTGAGAACTGGACACTGACCCCATCCCCTGCCCCACACCAGGGTGGGAACTGTGAGATCGCTGGGAAGAGTGATGCGGATGATTTCCGTCGTCTGCTGGCAGCTATGGAGGTGCTCGGCTTCACCAGTGAGGACCAGGACAGTATCTTCCGCATCCTGGCCTCCATCTTACACCTGGGCAATGTCTATTTTGAGAAACATGAGGTAAGAGGTGCTCAACCTGCAAGGCCACACCCAGGCCTTCGAGCTTCCTCCCTGGCTACCCATGGCTTCTCCTGCTTGGGCATATTCTTTTCTTGTGATATGTGAGAATTCTTTATATATGTTAGAAAAGTCAGACGATTATTTTTAGATGACAGAAAACATATCCTTTATGTTTTGATTTTGTTTACTATAAATTTGGTATTTTTCTTTAGGGGTATCGCCATGTAGATTATTCCAAAATTACCTTTAAGCAGTTTATCAATCTTTTCTTATACATTGTAGATTTTTTTTGGGGGGGGGCGGTCATTTTGAGACAGACCTCTCTCTCTAGGCTGGGGATGGAGCATGCTTCTTGATAGAGTGCTTGTGTAGTATGCAAGAAGTCCTGAATTTGATTCTTGCCCGCCCCCCCATAAAATCAAGTGGGTGCCGCACACTGCTAGGTGGAGGAAGGAAGGACCAGAAGTTTACGTTCATCCTCAGCTACACATTAACCTTGAGGGTAGCTTGGGCCTCATGAGACTCAGCCTCAAAAAAAAAAAAAAAAATGACAAGATGCCTCCACAGATAAAAGCACTTTGGGGCTCACATGGTGGAAAGAGAGAACTAACCCCTGCAAATTGTCCTCTGGCCTCCATGCACGCAGGGCATGTACACCACACATAAAAGCAAAACAGATAAATAAATGTTTCAAAATATTTGTTTGTTTTTTAGAGATAAGGTTTCTCTGTGTAGCCCTGGTTATCCTGGAACTCACTCTGTAGACCAGGCTGGCCTCGAACTCAGAGATCCCCCTGCCTCTGCCTCCTGAGTGCTGGGATTAAGGGCTTGCGTCACGATGCAGGACTTAAAAATCGTTTTAAAATTGTGCCCAAGAGGTGGCTCAAGTGGCTAGGAACGTTAGTGACGCTCGTAAAGGACCCGAGTTCAGTTCCCAGCACCCGTGCCGGGCAGTTCACACCAACTTGTATCTTCATCTCCCTGGGACATGATACCTTTGTTCTGGCCTCTGTAGGTGTCTGCACCTACATGTGCACACACACAACTAAAAATCAAGTAAGTCTTAAAGTAATAATCCATTGTAGTAAAGTGTGAGGTAGTAAACCATTTAATTTCCAGGTGGGTATGCAGTTGTCCTTGTCCTGATTTGAAAACCAGGTACTTATTGTGTATACAATTGCCAGATGTATTTATGCCTGGTTCTAGACTTTAGCATTCTGTTGTGTTAGGTCTGGATTTTTGTTTTGTTTTGTTTAAAACAAGGTCTTGCTAATAGTTCTCCTGCCTCAGTCTTCCAAGTTCTGGTACTGTAGGCATGTGCCTCTCTAGCTGGCCCGTGCCAAGAAGTCTGTCTTTTAAACTGTCTGTCTGTATGTGTGCGCAAGTGCTCAAGGAGACCAGGAGAGGGGAGTGTATCTCCCAGAGGCAGTAACAGATGGTGGGGAGCTACTTGATGTGGCGCTGGCAGCCCAACTCAGGTCCTCTGGAAGAGGAGCAAGGTCTCTCACCTGCATCTCCCCATCTGTGCGCATGTACACACCTGTGTCAGGGAGACTAGGGGTCAACACTGAGTAGCACATGTGCATACCTGTGTCATGGAGGCTAGGGGTCAACACTGAGTAGCACATGTACACACCTGTGTCATGGAGGCTAGGGGTCAACACTGAGTAGCACATGTACA